GAAATCCTACGGTGTAAGCTTTTTTAATGTTTTTCAAATCTAATGTGTACTTAATAGATAAATGTATGCTTAATAATTGCCGTGTATATTATTGTCGTATTATCATTTTTTCTATCCCAAAAAAAGGAATGACAAAAACATGTTTTTCTCAGTAAGCCGTAAATGTAGTAAATGCAACTTTTAACGCCCGCTTCATGAAAAATGTTTTATAAATTGGTCGCATAAAAGTACCATTTCTAAGAATGGCGCATAATTCATTAATTGTAATAATGATAATACATGTTTTTATTTCATTTTGCTAATTACAATTTTTGTGGGGCTCTTTTTTCGCTTGAATTATAAAACAAATGCATCAAAGAACCTCTTATAAGCGAAATGGATTGACTTAACAGGGTACAATAGAAATTTTTGTGCGGTTCAGATCATTACATTGAAACAAATTTACAGATAATAGGATGTGGTTCTCTGCACACCCCACTAAAATCTCATCTATCATTACGTGCTTATGTACCTTTAAAAATTGTACGATAGCTTGCCACTATTAAATTTTACATGAGATACTTTATCTGAGGGTGAATAATCCGTCCCTAACAGACCGTTGCGCGGTGCCACTGTTATCGGACCATCGCTCATACCATTGGCTGAACTCTTATATGGTGATTGGGTAGAATGATGATGAGGTGATATATAGCTGGCGTATTGCTCGGGCGAATAATAACGACTAGAGTTAATCGGCAGATTCGGTGGAGAAGTTGACACAGGATCTGGATGACTGCGATAGAGTTGGCGTAGCAGTTGCTGTTGTTGTTGATTATACAGTTGTTGTTGCTGTTGATAAACGTAGTAGGCGGCATTCAGTTGGTCCGCATACGTTGCCAACGATGGAGGTTGAGACGATTGTTGTGGCGGTTGAGTTTGACTTGGGACACCTCGCAATTGATGCAGACTTTGAGAATATTGTGGTACAGACGGCGGCTGCGGTGGGTTGGAATAGTGCAGAGCTTGATAAGTGCCGGATGCAGTGGCATAATTCGTTGGCTGTAGTGGTTGCTGCACAGGGGGAGCAAATGTGTACGGTGCCTGAGTGCCGGATGGTGATTCTTGATATTGGATGCTTCCCGAGCCCACAGGCGTATACTTGAAAAAGAAAAAAAAGTTTATCGAGGTTTCCGACATCTTAATTTTTCTTTTCAAAATTCTTATAATTGATGAAACGCACCACGGCGTAACAATACTTGGGAATTGCACTGCTAATTGCTGCAGGTGTGGATGCCATTTTCGTATTATACATTTTACAACAAAATTCACTAAAAATTTTTTACAAACGATTTTCTAAACGTTTTTGTCGCAGAATATTTTTACAAATTCCTTGTCCAATGTTTGTTCATTGTGTGTCACTTATGAATAATATAAAATTTTTGAACGATTCAATCGGTGTAAACTTTGTTTTGTCTTTTTTTAAATATAAATACAAAAGTAGATTACGGCAAAGTATAACGTTAAACCTACCCTTACGTAGTGTTCTCTGTACGGATGATTTTTAAGACTAGGATGTATTTTGAGCATAGAATGAGATCTAAGGAGATGACGATACTATAAGTAAGTAAACTTGTTTTTATAAAACGATTAATTGTGCAATATATGCATGCTTCTCTTCCCAAATGAGTCGTGAAATACTTGTGATCATTAAAATCAATATTTATTAACTGTTTCTCTACATACAAGTACACATTAAACGTTCATTAAAACTGTAAAAAAATTTGAAGGATGGCTGATTGCCACCGCTCAATCTGAGACAAATGCTTCTCTTATAGCTTTTGCCATTTCACCGACTTTATCCACAAAACTATTCCACGAATTTTTTACTTTTTCGGCATATTGATTGGCTATTTCAGATATATCTTTCTCGGCTTGTTTCGCATTTGCATTTAAATCCTCAATCTCGGTTTGACGTTTACGACGGTGACGTCTTACTTCTTCCACGTTTGTGCCATCTGTTACGTCTTCAGCACCACTACGAATTAAATATTTCTTTTTAGTTCTACGCGAAATTTTTTTGCTTCCAGAATTGTTGATTTTTCGACGACGTCTCTCTACAACATCGGTAAAATCTGTGCCCCCGGCACCACCGCCACCTATCGTGGTGTGGCAAGGAGAGCGTTTATTACGATATACATGCGAAATTTGCCGCGATATTTCACTGAACGTAAGATGTGATCGCTTGCGTCTACTGTATTCTTCTGAGCTATCTAATGCTGGCGAATGTATTGCTTGACCTATTCCCATCTCAGTTTTCGAATGCATTTTAGCAAATGGTAATTCCACATCATTTTCCCTACGTAACGCACCACCATTTGACATAATATCGATCATATTACCGGCCATATTCATGGCACCCAGACCAATGTTTTCCGTAAAATCCTGTACCGAATTTTATATATTTTGTAAAAATTTTAAAATACCTATAGAAAATGTATATATCAATTATATACCTGTGCTCGGCTATGAACATCAACAATCATTATAGTGAATGATAAAGCATTACAAAACCAATATTGCGTTTGTGGTCTCATACTTTGAACAGCGTTCACTGGAGTTGTCGTTTGAAGTCTGCCAATTAACTATTCCAACTGGACATAAGTTAATTGAATTTCACGTGAGGTTTATATTTATATTATAGTTTCAAGTTAATTTTAACGTATATTATTGTTTGTTGTGCACGCGCCATTATTTTATGAAAAGCAAACCTGTAGAGATTTTTAGGAAGTTGATTACATTTCATTGTTTTTCTTTCTTTTTTTTTTGCTTGAAAACTGTTGGAATATTTTTATTGAGAGACTTAATCGTAATGGTTTTTGACTATTTCCCTAATTGGGGTCGCGATTGTTCTCACGTACATGCAGAACAATATTAATTTGTCTTTAATATAGTAAGGTCTCTGGCTATTATGGAAGAAGAGAGAATGAGAAGTAATTTCTAGACAATTAACATAGCAAGACTGCACAGCTTAAACATAACAAACCAAGAAATATCAGATGTAAACGTTAAAAACATTCAATTTTAGTATCACTATAAAGCGAAACCGCACTTGTTTTAAACAATTTTACGCAATTGCTTTGACTAATTAGATATGTAATCAATATTAGGCCACGTGTTCTTTGACTTATGTGTACCTATGGAGGAAAATTATTGAAGCTGCCTTCACACTCCAACTTTCTCTGCTCAGATTTATACGCGTTAAGAACTTACAATTGCGTTGGACGATTAGTTATTTGCAGACTAACTTCAGTCAAAGAGTTTACCTGTGATCTTCATAGGTATATTTAATTGATTTTAGTCACTTAATCATTTTGCCGTTTGGTTTGTTTCGAATTTATATAAATATTTTAAATATACATTTTTTTTTAACACAATTAAAGGGGCACTATAGTAGGCTGCAATCCACCATAAAATACACTGCAGCATCAGCGAAAAAGCAAAATGTTAATTGGTTAAAAGGTTTAAACAATATAACAAATGTAATTCAGAATACACTTAAGTTAAACGTAGTTGAAAAAGAATTTCCATTTGGCAAAATGTTGTAAATGCAAAGCACACGAAATCTGAATAAATCTGTAACAATGTCCAGTACGCGGGTCTTATTGTAGGCAAGCACAACCAAGTCATGTACTGATGGATCATTAATAGAATATACGTGGACGTTTTTACCGTCTTACTTGCTATGCTTTATAAGTTACGCGTAAATAACCAAATTCTTTTACTCATATTTAATTATAGACATGGCCTTTGACCGATTTAGCTCATTTTGAAAACCTGCGGGCAAGAAATTGCAATAATCTTCTCAAATTTGTAGCTAATGTCTTAATTTTTGTGATGAGCGTTTTGGTTACAGTAGATATTGCACGGACGAACAGAAGAACGGGCGGACGTATCTAGATCGGTTCAGAATTTGATGTTGCTTAAAAATAAATGTGCTTTATGAGATCGTTGAATATTGTCTTCTAAGTGCTGTAAACGTGCTAAAGCAATGAATATATCTCCATCTTTCTGTGGTGGGTATAAAAACATGGCATAAACGCACGCAAAATTGTTTACAGTTTTATTTATGCTATCATTAGTTTTAATAATCATGGAAAACATTTCCGCTTTACTAGCGACTAGAAAAAAACAGGAGAGCTAATTAAATGAAAGCGGTGCACCTTATCATCTGAACCGTGCATGTGAAAACTAACCACGTGAACTAATTTATTTGCAGCGTGCATACGGGATATATTAGGAAGCTGTGTTAATTTTGATAAGCGACTTCTGCAGGTAAAAATAGTACAGAAATGGTAATTACCAGCGTACATAACGGTTCAATTCGATAGTTTCCATGTTCTTCCACATATATTAATCAATTTTCTTTCAATATTATTCATTTATTCAGCGTGTGCCGACGCTCAAAATTCTTCCTCTTCCAAATTCAAATCGGTTCTTTTTTTTTTATCTGAAGAAATCTGTTGCCGAAGCCCACCAAACACCTTCAGAAGCTTACGGTGATGCTGCTTCATTCTATGCCAAAATGTCGGTTTTGGTTCCGACCATTTGAAAGTGGTGACTTGAATTGACTGAAAATGCCATTTTTTGGGTACTTGTTGCAAAAGTTGCCCAGGATACACTAATGCAGTTCGAATGGAAAATTCTGGCGAATCCAGCGTGCTCATCAGACATGACAGCTCTTGATTACTACTTGTTCAGATCGGTGAAGCATGGCTTGGCTGGCACATGGGTCCGCAAAGTTGACCGTTGCCGACCCAAGATAAGTTCTTTCGACATGATATCATTATATTGCCAAAAATATTGTAAAATGTAGTAGAAAATGGTACACACTATTTTGATTATTATGTATTGTACTATAATTTTCCATAATAGATGACATTTCCAAGTGAAAAAATGACTAAAATTAAGGCAACCTTCTGATTACACAATTTTCAATTCATTTTGGCTGTGTCTTCTCGTCGGCCTGTTAACTTCAAATCTTAGCTCACATGTTTCTGGTTAGCTTTCACGAATGAACGTTATATACACGTTATATACTTAAGTTTCCCATGAACGCACAATTGTTTTAAAAAACTATAAAATGCCTTAAAAAGTCGATAACTGTGATACATTTTAAAAATCGCCTATAATTTCAAATATGATTTAAATGTTTATAGAACGATTTAAAAATTTGGAGTGAAAGTAATTTCAAACAGCTATAAATAACAAAAGGGTGTAAGTATCCAAAATTCGACTCAATGCGGCTATAATTCTTAATCTGCCATTTCCCTATCTATTTCAACATTTAGTTTTGCTTTTCTGTCCAATTAGAACTGAATAGCAATTGCGGATAATTAGTGGAAGTACAGGTCAACAATTATAAAAATTATTTCACGGTTAAAATATAACGCTAAACATTCAGAAGACGGCAAAGGAAAAGATATTGTGATTATAATAAAATAAATTAAAAAATAAATAAAAAGATAAAAATAAAAAATAAAATTTAAAAGAAAATGTTGAAATTACTTTATCTGTTAGTGTCATTTATTTTTCTAAAACATATAATTTTGTTGCAGTATAAAGCTAATGCGCTAACTTCGTCAAAGGTAATCAGTAATAACTTAATTTTGTTTTTTATACTGTATTTGACATTATGTAAAATAGGATACCGTATTATTTAAACGTGTTATACGTGATACTTCCTCCGAATTTGCCAACGTTTATAATGACGAAAATGGTGACGTAATACCCGGTAACGATGGTTCTGAATATAAATCATTTGGTGATCATATAAGCGAAAGAGCTCAACAAGTTGCTGAAAGTTTTCAGAGTATGTGGCATTCAATAACGGACTCTGTGAAGCATGCTATGGATGCGTTACGTGGTTTCTTTAGCGATGATTCTTACGAAATGTATACATATGACAATTATGATGAGCAGCAACGTTTGCAAATCGTCGAAACTTATAATAGGAAAGTTGAAGATAATGAAATTGAAATGTAAATACTTTTTTTGGCATAGCTTTTATCGTTAACATCTTTTAATTTTATGGCAAACCTTAGTTTGGCTTCATATTTGGGAAAATCTTTATATCGATAAAATTTTAGATAATATAAGAAAGACAATAAATATAAAATATTTCATAAATTCCACTCTTCGCTTATTAAGTAACAATAAATTATAGAGAAATAGCTGAGAAAGTCATATTCGCGCATTGGCAGGTCAACTGATTAATGGTGCTATATTGGTCCTCTAGCCGCTTTTAAGAAATATTTGTGCTGTATTTTAAATAAAAAATTTTTCTAGGGTAAAAGTTACATCTTTTTATCTTCTGTGAGCTTGTTTATATCTGGATCGCGGTAATTGTTTCGTTGCGGCCCTAGATGGCCTTCATAAACACGTGTACAGTGCTTTAAACCAATATCTGTTATTAGCTTTGATTTGTACTCATTGCGGGGGTAATTATAGACAGAACATGGTGCTTTTCAAACCTGATATGCGTCTATTAAATCAGCATTTCGTGCCGATAAAAAACATATATATGTACATATTCTATGGGATCTGTACGGTGTATCGGTGGTGTTAGAAGATGAAGATTCTATATATTTTGTAATGGTATATAGAGATGGTCAAAAGACCGAGTGCTTGAAATAATTGTTACAAATTATTTGAAGCAGTTATATTCGTCTTAGAAAGAATGTTGGTTGTCTATAAAGTTATATTCATCCTAGAAGTAGACATACGCACTCAGCACCACGATCCTCACAAAGTTCTTTTGTTTTATTTTTGTAAGTTTTGAGCACGTACGTTAGCTAATAATACTCATATTTAAACTACGCTATTCGTTTACTCAGCTTAGAGCGTCATATTCGGTAGATTCCAAACGATCGGAGCAAGAGATCTAGCTATATATATCTCAGAATCTAACGATGATAAATATTTTATAAGACTTCATATGGGTTCTTTAAAATTTTTACACATTTGAAGCTAATATTTTTGTCTAATATGAATGTTAAATGAGCAAAGTAATTAGACTTTAAAGAAACCATCGATGCAGTGCTGTCACGAAATCGAGCCAGATTATTCTACTTGGAGTATTAATAAAATGAGAAGAGATATATTCCTTTATTATGATCGTCGACGTGCACCATATGGCAAATGCAGCGAACGTTGTGTTTCACTGATTAAAAAATTGCAAAGTAACTTCTGCCGCGTACTTCGAAAAAAAGTAAAAGAGTACTGATGTGAACAATCTCGCAATTTACATGTTCAGAAAATATGCATGTTACCAGGCTTTTCGGTGATATAGCATCCGAGCCGCTACGTCATTGTTTTTCATTTTAGGAAACAAGACAATAGGGCTCCTTAATTCATATTCGGTAAGGTTAGCTTCTCTGTCAAATTATTGTCATGATCCAACTTTCGGCAAAAAAAATTAAAAAAACCATCGTTTCATCAAAATATCTCCATAATTGCAAAATTATGAAATCAATTTTTTGGAGACTATTCCAGATAAGGGTTCGCAGTAATAGTTAGCTCTTTCGCAAAAGAGGTTTGATACGAAAATTGACCACTGTGAATTTGCATCACGTAGATAAATTTTTTAGACCCAACTATGCAAAATATTTCTCATATTAAGCAATACCTTATATGGCAACAACAGTTCGGAGTTCTTTTTTGGCGCAAACATAATAAAATTTTTAAGAAGACAAGGTTGCTGAATTTGAAGCACATCAGTTGAGGTGGAGTGTTATTTGTTTTTGCATAATCAAGGAATGCATTAAAGCGATATGAAAATATAATTTTTTATGGCAAATACAGCACCCCGCAAGTTACAATGAAGTTCCATTTACTATCTACTACTGCTTTGGGTCACGAAAAATTTTTAATCTAGCTATTATATATACAATTATACAGTTTATGATTATTGCTACGAATATTTCATTTCATTATATTAAACGGAAAGATTAGCACGAAAAGAAGTGGAACAAGCAATCTCTTCTGAATTTTCATCATTATTAGATACATCTTCTGATTCTTCATCCAAATCAAGTGAATATAAATATATATAAGTATAAATTACCTGTTGTGTACGCTGTTGTGATTCTTGCTCTATAGGCGACTGTGGCTGCTGCTGCTCTTTGTCTAATTGTTTTTGTTGATGAGCCTGCTGTAAATTAGCTGTTTGTCCTCCGCCATAGTAACGTGTAACACTTTGTTGCAAATTCGGCGTTTTTAGTAGAAATGAATTTGCATTCGCATCTGCATGAAAACTCAATTGAGCCAAGTTCAATTTACCACAACATAGCAATATTAAAATTAGAAATTTTGTATACATGTCTTTTTGTATAGATTTATTTAAAATTTCGATTTAATAATCGTCGTTGCTTTTATCAAAATTTGTTCACCCGCTTATGATCAATATATTTTGTCAACTGTTTATCATAGTTTTTTAGTTTTTTATTTTATATGTAATTCAATGTTTGGTCTTTTACGTAATTGCCTTTGTTTCTGTTAAGTTAATACTCAAATTGCACTCATACACTGTTTGTGAAAAATAAAAGACTAAAGAAATCATTAGGTAAATGTATTAAAATTTAAATACAATTTGCATATGCAGAACTCTTATTAGTTCGTATGTGTTGAATTTCATACACTCTCTATATATAAGCGCAATAATTGTTCATTCCTCTCACAGAGCGACCATTTTCACTAGACTGTTTAGTATGCTGACAATGTTTTAAAGTGTTTGTGTTAAATATTTGTGTCAAGGGTGACTATCTGATGCTTCATGTTACCATAATGATTTCATTTTTATGCACCCACCTCTGAAGAATGATGGCATACAAATATATAAGACATATTATAAAATATTCCCTTTAACCTTTCGATTCTGAAAAGACGTAGCCCCGTCCATCTTGTCATTCATCTATATATTCATCTATCGCTTGTTGTTAAGCTTTCAAATAATAACAAGAAAGCATAAATAATTTAATTGACGGGAGAACTTCCATAAACTTTGAATTTATAAAATAATTTCCGATGTTGGCAATTAACAAAAATTCGCTGACAATGAATAAAAGGGAGAGGTCCGACATCTAAAATAATTAACGAGAACATCAGAATAAAATCTGATATGATGTTTGCGACACACTTCGGTATCTTTATAAGCAAAGGGTAAACGCCAGCTGCGAAAGTTGAACCGCGACATTTAAGGGAAGAATTCGAACCAGGAATTAAGTATTTAAAAAAACGAATAAGTCAGTAAGAAAAGCAAGAACGGATTTATTAAAATAAAACAAGTAAAAACAATATAATGGGTTATAGCCCTCGGGACCCCACAGTCATTCATACAATGCCTTATTTTGAAACGAACTTTTAAAATAAAGGTTAAATGAGTAGTGATCAAAAAATCGTCTGAATCGAACCATTTTCAATAGTGTCCGTCCTTGGAACAATACAAATGCATGTACTACATTTCATCAAAATAGCACAAAAATCACGACCTGTATGTTGAACACCAGAAAACAAGACGAACAGACAACCTCTAGAATCACTTTTTGAATCATGCAGTGTAATGGAATGTGGGTGCATCTCAACCACTTTTGAGTATTGCATACATCCACTCAAACTTAATACATGCTTGCACCAAAAGTAGTGTAGAGTATGATAAGTGAATAAATAAAATGATAAACACTAAATTGTTGCAAATTATTCATAAAATTGCGTTGCTATAATTTTGTAATTAAAATCTACGTTATTAAAAATGAAATTAACAATCCCATTGTGCTGATCTTATTAAAACGCGTTAGGAATAACACTCAGGAAAGGTATTTTTACATGACGATATCTTATGTTTTCAATTCATATTTGCATGAGACTCACCAGCATTTGACAGATAATTATACGGATTACAAACCGATTCTGATTTGCGACATCTAAAATGAAATTTTATGATGATGTTTAGACTAAGGTTGTCGATTCCGATATTTGCATATTTTGTTCACAACCTTTATCCATTGTGTGCGAATCACGCTTACATTTAGGTTGAATCTATCAACATAAAATAGAAGGCACAGGGAAGATTTTGATATCAATTTTTTCAACCGCGAAACTTTGCGTGGCTAAAAAACCGCACATACCTCTTAGTTCTTTTAATGAGACGTTAAAAATTGCGAATTATTCTGATGAAACATATTCAATCTAAAGAGAAAATGAATCTGGATTCCGCAAAGAAGCTTTATTTCAAGGCCATATAAAGTTTTATCGCTAAAACGAAGCAAAAACGCCGCCATAGTGCTTGGATTGCGTCTTTCAATATCTAATTTGGTTGTTTGTCCTGAAATTTGATAGCTTTTTACGAACAAATTTAAAATACAGAGAGCCAAAATAAAAATGAGATGCTTCGGTATTTGCGTCCCTTCCTATTTATACAACATTTACACCCGCATTGCCGAGCTTGCCACTTTTTCCAATATTGTTTTTTTTTTTATTTACAGCCATGCATAATTTCAATGTGTACCATATGCATGTTTGACCAGCGTAAGATTCTGCAATGAAACGGTTTAAAATCATGGCTGTTCAACGCTTGTCTAATACGAATTTCTTGAAATCTCTACGAAAAATCGTAGAAATCCTTCAAAATCTCCCCGTTATCCAATAGTAAGTACGGGTAAATAAACCCATTACGGCGGAGTTATTGTACCCTATGTTAGTCTTGGTGCAAGGTATATTAAGTTTGTGGGGACTGTTGCAACACCCAAAGGAACTTGCAATATATCCAGTGTTTATTATACAGATCGAAATGGAATCGTCTTTTGAATTGATCGAACCTTGTCTGTCTGTCTGTCCAACTGGTGTTTCGGATTTGGCATACTGACGAGTTTCGGACCAAGCACGAAAAATGGACTTCTTTTTCGACCACTCACCATATAGTCTTACATTGATAAGGCGTTATAAGAAAACAAATTGTAATTTTTTCCCGACAGAAATCCCTTAGTTATAGTATACCGGCTTTTTAAATTGGTGTGAAAGCATCGAATCAGATGGGGCAATTTTTTTACCTCTTTCCATGCAGTTCTTCGCACGAAAACTGAATTTTTATGTGGTCAGAAAGCCCAATTTTCAACACTTCTAGATGAAAGCTTGTAATAGTAATTTGCCATAAAAACTAACCTTAGCGAATTTGGCCCAAGTAACTTTAATTTTTGGATCCTAACTCAAAGGAAAAGTCTAAGGAAAAATAACTCTTTATGTGCTAAAAATGTGTAATTTTTAATGTTTTATGACAAAAATTTGCCCTTAGTAAATCAATTGTAGGAAATTTGGATTACATAGATCTATTTTTTAGATCGCATCATATAGAGAGACTCTCTTTAAAACAAACCGCACTATGGTGACAAAGCCTATTTTGGGGTTAGTTATGACGGAAACAACTGGGAGATAATAATATCTTGGATAAGTAAATTAAATTTTGCAAATTTATGTATGGATAAACACCATTCAATTCAAACCGTAAACGAATCGCCAATGCCAACCTATAATGCTCTCCATTTACGGTAACTATCATTTTTTTATTTTATTTATTTTATTTTATTTATTCCACTTATACTAGAAGCTCAACTAAACAAATAACAGTCGAGTTCAATTGGCTCTTAATGCAAAACTTATATTAATTAACAATAAAGTTGAGTATAAGCATAATAAAACAAATAAGAAGAAAAAAAAAGGAAAAGAAAAAAGAAAAAAAAACATGTACACTATCAGCATAGGAGCACACTTACAACCGGTACAGGACCAAATTGCTAATGAACCCCTAAGCCATCGCAAACATGCATAAGCATGGAGGAAAGGAGAATGCTTCTTGCCCAGACACCATCCCATACATTTGGGTTAGCTGCATAGTAAAAAGGATAAATTTGCCTATTCTCTGAATCGTTGACATGAAAATGGGCCTCTTGTTTTTTTTAAACTTATTCACATACGAACAATTATTTCGATAAAAAATTCGGGGCAATTACCAAACGTTGTTCAAGGAAATGGCTTTTTATGAGGAAACTTGAAAATTTAGCTGAATACGTCTAACACAGAAAAAAAACAAACAATATTAATATTTAAAAAATGCGTTCGACGGCAACAAGAAATTATACCGATAAAAATTAAATAAACTTTATGCACAGAAGAACTTTAAAGAAAATGCTCCTATGTTAAGCAAATATGAGCTTACATCACTTTACTTTGCGAAGAATTAATTATGATAAGGAATTGGGAATGAAAAACTCAAATTGGAACTGAATACCAAATTTGATGTTTTGAGTATTAAGTGTTTGCAGTCTGCATATATATTTTTTTTTTTTTACTTCTGATAAGGTCTCCGCAAACAAACAGGTAAACAGAAATCAAAATTAACCTATCACGGTTTTTTTTGACTATATACGATTATTTTTACAAAAGTGTATAAACGATTAGCAGAGATATATATAAGAATAGATATAGTCAGAGGTCCTTTAAAAAGATATAAGAAGGCAAAAAATTTCAAGCCATTGATTTTATAGTCCTTTTTGTGTTAACCCATTGGCAGTCTGACTAGGGCTGAAAAAATGAGGTAGCATATAAGAAAAAAAAAAAATGGAACGACCGAGCATCACTCAGCGGCTTATAAGTCACGGCGTCATGCGTTCATTGCCTGCAAAGAGTGATGTTTGCTTCCGTCACGACGAGCATAACAAAGGACAAAACGCCCAAATATACACAAGTACATATATATGTTTATATACATGTACTATTGTGTTCAAAAACTAAGACCAATTTAATCAACATCACCTTGATATCTAACGATTTGGACGTTTTTGCGGCCGTATGCATAGACTCAATTCTCATCCCCAATATTAATGCGTTTCATGGGCGATTGATAGTCAGATATCACCTCCTCAGATTTTAACGCGACGCTCTTTTTCAAAGAAATTGAGTGTCTTTGGTAGCAATCAAGATTTGACACGTTTCAGGCCAAAAATGTCTTTTAAAATGTTGTTGACTGGTCCGTTTACTTTGAAGGCGATGAAATAAGTGTGGGGTGCCAAATGGACTTAAAAAAAAAATTAAATTAATTTGGTCTTACTTGTTGAACTCAGTAATATAGATCTTGCAAGGCCTCTGAGTATTGCCCGTAGATGTTGCAAACAAATGGCAAAGTGGAATATACTCATTTTCTGGAAGTGATTATAAAATAAAAATAATAAGAAAAGCGATTTGTAATATCTCGTAAGTAAAATAAATTTCTCTTTCAATGGTTCGAGTTTATTGCATTATAATATGTTTATAGCATATTACACCCGATACATCGTTCGTTTGAATAAATGTGTCTTCTTTCCAAACTAAAGTAACATTGTAATGAAAGGAATAAATTTTTCATTAATTATATAAAATTTTTTTTCTTACAAAC